CGATTAAATATTTCGGTTGGATGCAGTTACTACGTAACAAACCTGATAACGCGGATCATTTAAAAATCTATGACACGGCTCTTACGTAAATATTATCGTAATCGCCAATCTCGTCGTATCAAATTTCGATCGGTTGTTGATTTTGCGCAGCTTTTTGATATTTCGCTCGTCGTTTCCATTCGTATTTACGACGGGTTTGAAAATAAACCCGCCCATTTTCATTAGCGATCCGATCGCCCGAGTATTTTTTTATTCAATGCACGAAATTGTTGTTATAATTGTAGGATTCTGTTAATGAGATGATAATAGTTGATGATTGCTGTGGAGATCTATGGTAGAAGAGACTTGTGTGATATTGAGATTTTATAGGTTTTTATTGGTTACGGCGTCCCAATTTGGCCACCAAATTTTATAATTCTAAAAGTATGCAAAGTGTTTCTGAAAAATAAGTAATTCTAGAAAGTGAATACGAAATTTTGAGCAATTTCTCTTGAATTCCTTGAATTGTTTTGAAATTATTTGAAGCTCTTCTCGAATTCCTTAGAATTCTTGGAATTATTTATAATTCTTCTGGAATTCCTTAGAATTCTGCAGGAATTCTTTGAAATTTGTCGGAATTCTTCATATTGTTCACTAGAATTCCTCTGCTGTTTACTCCTCCTATATGTCAATGCTTAGCTTCTCGATACATCTATAGGTAATATTTAACGAGAATCTTGAAGGTAATAGGAAGGAATAGTTTTTTATATTATATATTAATTATTATTAGTCAGGTCATATATCTTTGCAATGCCGTTTAAATCATATATTTTAATACTAACTGGCTTTTATGATACTTTTTCTCTTTTGTATTATATTCAGGTAATTATTACTTTGCCATCTAAATCAGGCTTTTTCTTCTTCAAAAATCAGGTTATTTTACATACAAGTACGTCGTTTTTAATTTTCTTGCAATTTTGAAAATGAACTTAAAATAACAAAATTTATTTTTATGGTAAGCAATTATGTTATATAGCAATAATTTACGTTGATGTGAGTTTATTTGTTTAAAATTACTGTTTCTATCAATTATTAAGCTGCGACAAAACCGCTTTTTAAATAAAAAATTCTGAGATGTTAAGAATTTTTTATTCTCAGCGGTAAATCTGACAACACTGCTGTTAACAACGCTTAAATATCTTCAAAACTGCCAAAGCTGCATCGATAACGTTAAAAAACCTCCAGAATTCTGAAAACCCCAGATGTTGCAGTTTATCGTTCTAGCTTTGACAGTTTTAGATGTATCTAACAGTTCCGGTAGTTTTTACTGAAAAAGCGGTCGTAGCTAGTAATTCATTGTAACAAAATTTTAAAATTATGATCCCTTACTAAATGCGACTGGCGCAATTCATTGCAACAAAAATAAATAGGGCATTCCATTTGAACTGACCTAATTATGACGTAGAATGTAAAAATGGTAAATCTGACATTGTTGTTAGCATTTTTGAATTCTGTATGTCAGGGATCTTGAGTTTTCTCGTTCCAGCTTTGACCGTTTTGGAAATATTTTACTAATACTTTACTAACCAACTATAAGCCTAATATTCGAAATTAATAAAATTTCTCTTTCAAACAAGCTTGACTGGATTTGTTGAAAACGTAGAAGTCGTTTAAAAGATGCAGTGCTGTAAATAAGCAATAAATCAAAAATCTTGATTTTTATGGTTTACCTTATAATTGCCATACTACTCCCCTTTACAAATAATTTCCAGCATTTTGTCATTCCATTTTTAGTAGTTATTTTTATATGGACAGTGACTACCCTTTATGTGATATGTCAATCCAGAACTGTTTGTTTTAATTCGGAACTAGTCTCGGTTCCATTCCTTTTGCTAGATTGCCGAAAGTGGACATTAATATAACGTAAACATACGATACAGCGGATAGCGACATACTATTCCAAATTTACAATATATTTTGAATTTCTCGTAATTAGTTTTTTACATAGATTCGGAACAATAGTCCCATAGACATGTTTTCGGTTCTCGCACTGTAAAATATAAATTCTCGAGCGTCACTTCCTCTCTGCTGCAGGAGCCCATTAAGCAGCCTGTTTAGTATTTCATATTGCTCGGGATTTATTGTTGGCCAAGTCGACGTTAATGACGCCTTCGGCGTAACATTGTAATTAATTATTATATTCCAGACTATAAGCGGCGTTTGTTTAAAAGTGGTTAGAGATGGATGGATCGTGTCCGGCGATAGATTGGTACGAAATTACGGCGTTTGTTATTTATTAAACAGGCGCTTCAAGAGGAGCATCGGCAAAATCATTAACGTCCATACCTTTTTTTTCTTTCCAGGGCAATGATAGCCGTTGTTTAATTTCTTCCGCATTTAGAGCGATACTTAACACTCTTCGCGTTTTTAAATACCATGTTCTCATTCAACGTTGGCATCTTTTAAATTTAAAGTGTTCATGCTTCAAGTAAATCCGAAGACGTAAGCCTCCAATACCCAGGAATATTCGCACTCAAACGCACATCATTTCCTATTTGTCTGCAAATTCTAAAATAGTATTGAGCTGTCTTTTTACTGACGAGTTGAGCGAAATTGTAGTTAAATGTACCAACCAATGTGAAGTTGGAAAGAATTAACTCTGTTTGCAATGCCTATGTGTATACCGGACAAAACTAAGATGGAATTGGACTTTCAACGGACTATTAAAATCTACTGAATCTGTAATTCGTCTTTGTAAAGCATTGTTTGGAAAAAATAGGAATTAAACGCAGATATCTGGTTCTCGCCTGTCGAGCTATTGGAGCTCCTTAGATATAATGGAATGTGGGAACATGGACACCGGGCTCCCACGTTCCAAAAAAACAAAATAAAGCTGCCGTTTTAATCCAGAATCCAGAAAATGGCGAGATAATGAATTTCTACAAAAGCACAAAAGGAGGTGTAGATATCCTGGACGAAAAATGCACATCTATAGTACTTCTAGAACAACGAGACGCTGGCTCATGGCGGTGTTTCATAAATTATTGTACATGAGGGAAGTGCTTCAGTGCTATATGGATAACAAAAAAATTGAAAGAACATACCAGAGGGGCGAACTATAAAAAAGCGCATCCTACGTATTGACCAGAATACTCTTTATCAGAGAGATGAAGAAAATATGCACAGAATATTCTTAAAAAAATATTTTATATTTTAAGAGTTAAAATTCACATGTTACAGTTTTTTTTTATTTTATAAAAGTAAAAATGTATAAAAAATAAAAATCATTTATTTATACTGTTAGTCCACAGGACGCGTTTTTTTCAAATCAGCTTAATAAAAAAAAGTATTTTTATTGTCATGATTTTTAAAAAAATTAACCACACCAAATTATAAAAATAAAAATTAGAAATGTTTTTTATCGCATAAAAATAACCTAAGATTCACTTATTACGTAAAAATCCCCCAAAAAATATATCTCGATTGAAAAATTACAGGCTAAAAAATGCATATACAGGATTACAGGGTAAAAAAAAAACTACGCTCGTCTGCGCCCTCTATTATTCCTTATGTAATTAAATTTATGACATTATATCGATCGGGGCGTCTCATGCCATGGGCAAAATATTCTACCTTGCGCACAGCAATCTGCAATCAGCAATATATATATATATATATATATATATATATATATATATATATATATATATATATATTATTTTGTGAGTCTTGAGTTTTAATTGAATGTTAATATTTCGGCTACTTAGAATTTTCTTCATCTTGAGGAACACCGCCCTAGCCTTCTTTATGCGGATTTTGATTTCCTTACTCATATCAAGCCGCTCTCCATACGCCGTTGTTATTGACTGCTATATAGACTGTTTGCTGATCACTATAGCTTTACTTTTCAGTTCATACTTACTTATTGAAGGCATTTATGACACTTTCGCTTGCACCTGCAGTTCTTCCGCACTATTAACACTTTCATATCTCCATGGACTTCGTTAAGATCTGTACAGAGTATAGATTGAAAATCAGTTTGTCCTGTTTGACCCTGTTGACCACTTTTTCTCTGCATCCTATACTAGAACTTGTATGCCAAATGTATGTAACATTTGAAGGAATATTACGACAGGGTAAGTCTAATTCAAATCCCATCAGACCGACCCAACCCTTGTCGAAAAATCCGCTTTTATGTTAAATAAAATATCATCATTTGCTACTCATTTGCCCTAGTAATTAATAGAAAAACGATTTTCTGTAGCTAGATTGGCACCCTGTATGTTCAAAACGAAGGAAGATGGCACACGCGTTTACAAGGAGAAAGCCTCATTTTTATAATAATAATAAATGGTGTTTATTGTTAAAAAAATATAGAACACAGAATTAAAAGAGAAAAGAAAGAACAATAATACTATACTAGAAGTTTAACCTCTTCATCATAAGAATTTATTCAAAACATTTGACTTGGTATATGGAAATAAGTAACTCATTCAAATTGTCGAAAATGTTGATATTTCGAAATACTAGATACTATATTTCTAGAAAATGCACATTTTTGGGACCCTGTATATGATGTACCGCCATTTTCTAAGCCAAGAAAGAAATTTTGCGTAAAAAGAATCTTCGACGACACTGCATTTCGTATCGGTCGTGTCGGTCACCCTGTATAATAATGAGATTTGATTCTTCCTTTACTTAGGTCTAGTAGTTGTGTCAACCATTCCGAGAAAAATAAATAGAAAATTTGTTGTTCTTTGGGTTACTATTCGTGAATTTTAGAGAACAAAAAGGTTGTGAGTAAATAGCCAAATGTGAGTATTCTTGAAAATTTTCTATAAAAAAGAATCTTTTGGTTAGGAATGATAGAAATTGGGAAAAAGATTATAACCTACAATAATATATTTTTAAATATTTTTTTTCCTTTTTCCAAGACGCTTACAGGTTACAGTGTAAGATAAATATACTCCCTAGAATTTGTGCAGATTTTCGGTAATTTTCGTGTTTTTTTTTTGTTGCAGGACGTAATCCACACCATATCACAAAGTAGCGGCCAAGTGCTCAGAATCGTTATTTTCAAGAAAAACGGAGTCCAAGCGATGGTCGAATATCCTTTTTTATGCTCATTTTTAATGATATTTCTAAATCGTTTTTATTCAATTCTTGTTAATATGCTCTTCGTTTTTCGCGGAAAATCACATGTTTTGGGTGTTTCCTTAATTCTTGTGCACGTTCGACAGCATAGAGTCGGCAACAAGGGCGAAAGAAACCCTGAACGGGGCGGATATTTACTCGGGCTGTTGCACGTTGAAGATCGACTATGCCAAGGTGAGTTTTTTATGATGATACGTATATCTTGTTCAAACTGAAATATATTGCTGTGTTTTGAGCGCCAAAGCCCCCTTGTCACAACGCGTGACTTATTTTTATTGAAAAATATGTTTTGAATCGTCGGCGTTGACTCGATGTAGATCGCGAGTAGGTTTAACCTAATTAATAGATCCACAATTTGACACACAGAGTGTTCCAAAATTCGCTAGACCTTTTAAAGTCGAAATGTTTTTTATTTGAAAAACTGTGATTTTAGCACATTTCATGCAGACTTATTGAGTCTATTTTTGAAAAACAAAATGTTTCAAATGCCTGGTAATATTGCTCTCTAATCTGTCCTTAGCGTTTTGCGTTACAGGAATTTGTTTGTTGAGAAATCTAATTTAATTTTGAATATTCTCATTTAGTTAGGATACCGTTTTTTTTCGAAAACCCTTTCCTTAAGATATCCCTATAGAAAAAAACCGGAGCCGTAAGTTCAGGCGAACATGTAGGATACGGATGATCTGAGATTCTTGAAATTATAAGTTCTCGAAAAATCCCTCTGACGTGGCTCCATCTTGCTGGAACCACATATCTGGCATATTTTCTAGATGCAGAAATGTTGCAGCATGTTCGTGTCTCTCACTAGTAACAGTTTCTCAGCATTTTCGTGGTCATCTTCGAATGGCCAAACAGACAGAATTCTCCAGTTCTGCATATTCACGAATGCATTGAGGTGAAAGTGTGCTTTGTCGCTCCTGATAAGCCTGTTGATGATATTTTCTTCTTTGCACATTCGCTGGAACCGAATAGTTTTTTGTTTGTAATGGACGGGTCGTAAGTTTTGTTAATAGCGTGACACCTCAAAACTTGCTATCAAATTGACGTCGCTCAGATTCAATGTCTAACCTTTAAATGTATTTACCGCTTGACTTAAATAGTATCGCTCAAGTTAACAACAGCAAGCAAAACCTTCATCAAGATGAGCTTCGCTTGGACACCACAAGTGTAACCCATGGCATTATTATGCTGTTTCTTTAACTCGGGTTTAATTGTACGCATGTAATTTCAAGTTATGCGTGTTATTAGCAAAATATAGCAAACGTCATGGCTCGTTAGGTTTATTAAAACATTTTCTAATAAATTTTCGGAATGGCCTGAAACATTATGGCGTTTCAATATTAAATACGTATCATACTTCAAAATACGTAAATAATTGCCTGCTGATAAAACAAGCAAAATATACAAACCTAATTTAACAGCCGCTCTTAAAGCCATTAAGGAAAATAATGAGTTTTAGGCTGCGTTTAAAAGAAATCTTTTATGTTGCCGTACTTCAAAAATAGTTTTTTCCTCAACCATTCTAGTCTAAAATAGCATAATAGGTAGACACTCAGAATTAATATGAATTTTGTTTTTTTTTATTAAGTTATTTGGCTTTGTTAACTTTCCCCCATACAGATTATATATGTAAGCAACGTCCAAAGTTAATGAGCACATTTTGCGCAGCCTAAACGAAAACACATTTTTTAAATAAATTCTTTTGAGCGTTTGGGGGGGGGGGAGGTAAACTTCATGTTGTTATGTTGGTAGTTAGTTTTGGAAGGTAAGTGTCCCCAAAATTTCAAATGGAATTTGCAAAATTGTGCAAAATTCAAAGAATAGTATCTGGAAGAGCAGAAAACTCCTTTGTTGATGGAGGAAATATCAAATTTGCATTTGGGTTGCCCAAAATTTGAGGAAAAATTGCGCATTTTTTTTTAAATTGTTATGGTGATATCCAAAATATGGCGGGGGTTTCCTCGACGGAGCCAAGTTACTTTACACTGTATAGTTAGTTGTCTTAGGTATTTTTTCTTGTTTATGATTTGTTTCAGTGCCTCGCGAAATTGCTTAACTAAACACAGGTTATTGCTATTTTGTTTCTTGCGCTTGTTATCACGAAATGTTAATAATATTACTTTGTTGTGTGGAAATTTCCCGACTTTAATATCTTAGTTGAATATCAATATATTATTCACCCTACCACAATGGAAACTGCACTTAATGGACAAATGAAGACAATTTTATTGCAATCAAAACTTTATTTTGAATAAAATCTATCCTATAAAATATGTGTCGCGGCAATATTCACAAAATAAAATCAAAATAAAATAAAATAACCAGTCCACACATGTTGACACAGCTTTTGTCTTTTTTTTGATAAGGTAAGTTTATTTTGCGCCAATAATAAAATTATTATTCAAATTCATAAAATTCCAGGTGCAAATTAAAACCAGTCACAATCAAAATAATAATATATAACCTTGGATAATCTAACTCTAATTTTTAATACCCACTTGTGGCTATAATTTGTTTTGAAATTATTTTCATTATTTCTTTATTTTAAGTGAAATAACCACTTTACCAAAAGTTCACCAAATTGTGTTGAATTAATACTATTTTTTTGAAAACCATTATTTTGCCTTTTTTTCAATAATTGTATCGTAAACAAAAAAATCATTTTTGTTAACAAGATTTCATCAATTTTTAAATGTCTTACCGCGTTATTTTGGAAAAATGACTGGTAATTTTGGATAACTGGATAAATGGTTGGTTGGCTTTATACATATTTATATTATTTTTACTTTTGTTTGAATATGTTTGTGAGCACACACTGGCTCACCTCTAAAATATATCAAAAATATTTTAAAATATTGTAAAAAAGCACAAACATGATAATAGTTACCCAGCGGATATACAGGGCGGGACAGGGTATTATTCCGTATTTTTGAAGACGAATGAATCGAAAAGTAAGAAATGTAAGATTTTTTTCCATGCGGCTTTCGATGTCAATATCTGCATCACCGTCGGAAGCACGTCTTTTGGTAGAATAATAAAAAAAAATCTTATACATTTATAAGAACTATTATATTTTGCATAAGGAACTCCAAAATCGTCTATAGTTCTTGTGTTCACGTATTTGAAACAAATACAGACAATAGAATATTAAAATATTAAATTTTTCAAAATAGGATTTACCGGAAGTCGATTTGGAAAATCCTGGTATACATCTTATGGGCCTTTTCTGCATCAAAAAGGCAGTTGTCGCAAAGTATACTATACCCAATTCTTGTCATTATATCCAAATATCTTTCGGGTTATGTAATGTTGCTCCCAATCCTTAACTGAAAAAACTCTTAATATTTGTCATTATGTTAAAATATCTTCATTGCTCCCAATCCCAATATCAAAAAAGAGAGTTTTAAAATGCATGTTTTTCTCTTGTTCGCATGAGTATGCGACCTATTTGCCTATCTTTAAGGCTTGTAAGTTGTTGGATCGATGTTAATAAATTTCATGACAGATTTCCCCAAAGAAAGAGATTGCACTAGGGCAAATCCGGAGAACCATGTCTTTCGATATCCTCGAGTTCCAATTCTATGTCTACCACATATTTTTAGTAGTTAAGTCCCCTAGAACATATCCTAAGCATATGCACCAGCGCTATCTTAAGCGGCGGGGCGAAAATGTTGTCATCTGCGAAACATTTATTAGAGGTTGGTTCTCACCCAACACGTTCATTAAAAATTTAGTCAGATATAATTTTTGGGGTTGGGGTTGACGGAAGTGCAAGAAGGAATAGGAGCCGGAATATATGAACCCACGACGAAAAGGAAAATCTCTATTCCAATGGGTAAGCTAGCAACAGTATTCCAAGCACTAGAACACTGTGCAAGAGAAATAAAAGCGAGGAAGATCAGTAACAAATCAATTGCAATTTACACCGATAGTCAAGCGGCTATAAAGACCTTGCAATCTAATAAAATAATATCCAAGTTAGTTCTGGACTGCCATAAGGCATTAAACGAGATAGCAAGCCAGAACAAAGTTACTCTATCATGAGTACCGGGGCACGGAGGATAATGAAGGCGCAGACGACGCAGCCCGCGAAGGGTGGTCAATGCGCCTGATTCGACCAGAACTCTTTTGTGGGGTGGCCAAACCGGTTGCAAAAACAGCCATCAGGGATTGGATGGACAGAGAATCCCGACGATGGTGGAGGGACATGCCGGGACAAAGACAGGCCAAGGCGCTCATCGGCCAATTTTGCAGCGGACCTACTAAGCTACAATAGGAAAGCCGTAAGAATAATGGTAGGTCTGCTGACGGTCCACTGCAGGCTTAAGAGACATTTAAGCCTGATGGAAGTGGAAGAAAACACAGAATGTAGATTCTGTCAGGAAGAGGGGGAAACAGCCGCACACGTACCATGCCACTGCGAAGGCCTAGCGAGAGTGCGTTTCCATCTGCTGGGCGATACCAAACCAGAGGCAGAGAGCTATACGAGGGAGCCATTATGGAAGTTGTGGAGTCTGGTTAGAGAGACGAACCTGGATAAAGCTCTATAGCTATGGAGAGAGTCACAATAGATCCTCTGGGTCGCAGTGACGGACAGGCTGAAAAAAAAAGTGCAATGTGTACGGAAGTTGCTATCAACTTGCTCGCTAAACTTTGTTTTTTCAAATGCAGCCTGTAACTTTAAGCGTTATCAAGTCCAGAGCTGAGCTTACTTCTGTTTCAAACGGTATTAGTCCGAATCATTTTCGAAATATTTAGATTTTTTGATGCTATCGTATTTGTTCGCGTAAACATTTTCCGTTCACCTACTTGACTATGGAAAATGAATTATTGCGTTCCGTTGTCACACGACAACTAATAATAAAAGATTAAATTTAATATGGAAGAATATTCAAATGCTGATATTCACAATTTGTTTTATATTCACGCCGAATGTTACAAAGTGCTGTAGAAAACCTGTCGTGTTTTTAATGCAAGACGAAATTCAAGAGGATTGTTACAAAAAAAGTTTCAAAACCAATAACTGGTGACGAATATAATGTAACAAATACCTTAGCTTATTTCCATCCGCGGAAGAATATTTAGGAATTTCTGCTTCATCTGTCATGCAGACCTTCAAATTCGGTGACGATGAACGGCGAATGGAATTTCGTTGAGTATTTGAGTATTAATTA